TGAGAGCCTGGTCCGGTGAGAACCCGGCGTGCTCCGTCCCGGCTTTGTAGGGATGCGAGGTCAATGGTCTAACGACTACGGCATGCACGACTTTGAGACAACCCGGCAAAAACACTTACCGCGCAGAGGCGCAGTATATCGACCAAGTTGGGCGCACAATACAGGATGATGACACCACCGTTATTCTACGTACGACGTGGGCGACTTGTGGGCTCGCTTCGCTCGCGAGGCGGACGGGATAACTCCTAGCCCAAACGCAATACGCACCCCAAAACGTGATCGCCTCGATAAACATCGACCTTTCGCAAAGCCAAGGCCAGGTCAGGGCAGCGTGGTCGATACCGACCCCGACCCCAAGGCCACCAAACACCAGCAGAGCGGTACACGAAGTACCACTCCGGTGGGAACATGACGCATGTGCGTACCAGTGACACCGTCGCAAAACATCACACACAACGACCTAATCCGATCCTTTTGCTTATGGAGGAAGCCAGCACAGGACCAATACACGCACATAGAACAACAACAGGGAGCTTTTCCCCCGCCACGCCCCCCCCTCACCAGCAGGATGGTTTTCTCACCATAGACTCTGCTGTCTTCTGTCTCCTCTTCCTCGCCGCGTTCCTCGCCCCCTCCGCAATCTTGCGCCTCGTCTCTTCCGAGTGCCCCACCCCGACGTTCCACGGCTTCTTGCCCTTGTTGGCGGCTGAGATCTTGGCCTTGCTCGCCACCGTGTGCGGCCTGCCCCCGGCCTCGGTGATGATGACCGTGGCTTCCTTGCCCTCTACGGTCGTAGACTCCTTCTTGCCTTTCGACTGCCGTAGAGTTTGTTCCGTATTCGTCGTCTCTGTCGCCGTCACTGGAACCTCTCCCGCTACCTCTGCGCCCGCCGCGGTCGAGTTTACGCCGACCCCGACGGCACGGGCGGCTTGAAACAGCGGCCAAGACGTCGACACCCTTCTGCTTCTGCTGCTGCTGCTTCTGCTTCTGCTGCAGTGACGAGGTTGGAGCTGTAACAACCGCGCCACGCCCTGCCGCTGCCTACTGCTGCTGTGGTCGTCGTGTTGAAGCCCCGCTAGCGTGCCTGCTGTTGATGTTGCAAAGTCACGATGTGCCGCGCCGCCAGGACCACCACCTGTGGAGCCGCCCACTCGATGAAATTGTTCATTCTCTCTTCTCAAGGAGGCCCACTCGGCTCGGGAGGACAGAGGGGCAGTAAACGCAGCGAGTCTAACACCATGACCTCTCCCGCGTCGTGCGTGCGTTTCGGCAGATGATGCGGCGTCTGGACTGACCACCAACAGAGCTGCAGTCAGCAGCACCGCCAGTGTCCCCGAGCGATTCAGCCGGGTCGCGCAAGCAAGAGACCGAACGAGGTAGTCAAGTTCATTCGCGGCGGTAGGCCTAGGCCGTCGCATGGTAGTCTGCCGTGTATGAGAGATAGAGCAAGACAGAGGTGCAGTGGTGTGTGCGGTCCGAAAGCAAGCATCATGCGATGGGGGTGACGCGGAATACTTTTGTTCTGGGCCTTCATGCGTGGCCCCGAATATGACACGGCCGGCCGCCGGCGCGCCGGCGTGACGGCGTGATGATCATCCCGCTGGTCTGGCTGGGGGCTTTCCCTGCTAGTGGTTGACCTCCCTCTTTCTCTTTATCTAGCTCTGCCATTCGAATTGATTGTACTTCTCCTACCCCTGCTACACCTCAGCTCTCCCAGTGCTACGACTGGCGTGACACCGGCTGAAAATAAGTTGCGGCTAAAGGTTTCACCGCAGGGACACTACAGCAGCTCCTTCTCTCCATCTCTAGCTTGTCTCTACATCCAACATCCATCTCATAAGGTCAAACTCGCCGTGTGTGATCCCGCTTCGATGGGGGGCGTGGAAGATGAAGCATCCAAGGCCGTCCTCGAGAATCCCCCACAACCGGTTCGGGCGGCGCCGCCACGGCCTTCGCCGCCGCCGCCGCCGCCGCCTCTGAACACCAATCTCGGTGGGCGCGTTGTTCCAAACCAAGACAGAGAGGTCTCAGCAGCAGCAGCAGCAGCAGCAGCAGCAGTGGTCGGAGATCGGCAGATAGATGAGGACCAGACGGCGCAGGAGGGAGGTTTTGCGTCGAGGACTTCGGCATCTGGACAAGCGCTCATCCTCTCGGAAGAGCTGGTGGTGATAGGAGCGGCGGGGGAGGTGCCCCAGGACGACACGCCAAATTACTACGATTGGCAATACCTGTTTCCAGAGCTGAAGGTTTTGGTAGATGGCTTGTCGGAGATAGCGGCGGAGTGCGCACAGGTGGCAGCGTGGAAGGCCTGGCCCGAGAAGCACTACGACGAGGGCGGGGGGCAAGATTGGAAGGTGCGATTTGGACGCATGAGATAGAGAAGGTCACGTTTGGGTTTAGCCTGCCAGTTCCCGGTCGCGCGACCAATGATTGGCATCTGCTGTACGCACTCTATGAAGGCGAAGACGTTGCTTCAGCTTTCTATTGGTAGAGCTGCATCTACGGTGGGAGGTTTGTTGCTACCCCGGTGTGGGGTGGTCCAGCGCTTCCGTGTTTGACTGCGGCACGTCAATCTGCACGATATCATTTCCACTGAAGCTACGCTATGAGGATGATGCGGCTGCCAACCACCGTTTCTAATGATTCTGTATGTTGGGGCGCCATACTCACAAGCCTTGTGCCTCAGACCGCGTCATTATCCCTCGCCAATTGCAAAGTGCTGTTAGCACACAAAGTCATGGGTGTTGAGGGATGAGGAGCATAGCGTTGCGTCTCCGGACACGACCGTGGTGAAGGCGGGGGTTTGACCATTGCCGTCCAAACAGACCCGCAGCCAATTGGTGTGCCCGCTCCGAACACGGCGCACTGCTGTGACCGATACTGCTGTCGCGGCGACTGATTTCTGTGGTTGTCAAACGAACGAGCACCGGTGGAGTTGCCCGATACAGCTTTGCCCGCAAAACTTGCATGGACTGCTCGCGAAACTACTGCTGTTCCCACTGCCCATTCCCCTAACGTTCCCGCATCCCTCCCTTGCTGGTGTTCTTGGCATCCCACGACCCGGACGTTGCCCCACCCCCCGCCAACTGAAGGTGTTCCCGTTCGTACACACGTTCCCCGCGTATGATGAGGCCCGGCGAACATGGATAGACAGCACCTGCGGTCGATGCCCTGCGACGGCTGCCATCTTACGCCGCCTGCCCAACATACGAACGGCGCTATTTTCCCGGCTTGGGGGAGGTTCCCGGATCTCGGGGCACCGGGGGTGGGCGGACCTCGCGAACCACGTCCTGCGGTGCCATCTGCCGCTCAAGGTACCCTCGGATGGGCCGTGCGGACTGTGGGTGAACGAAGAGGTGCGTGCGTGTTGTGTGCCTGAAGGCTGCGGTGCCTTTGCGATATTCTTGAGCACGAATTCGTGCCCCATGCGTGTGTTGCGTGCTTCATGTAATAACAGTAATCGCCGACGTCTTGTGATGTGGGTACAGTCGTCCCCGCTTTAAAGACACCATTTTTAAAGGCACTCCCCGCATTAAGGACACAAAAAATCTCAGAAACATGGTGCCCCGCAGATGTGAAAAAGTAGGGGGGGTAGGTTTCTCCACCATTCGACCCCCCCCAGAAAACGTGCTGCAGCACCTGTAGATCCTGGATCATCAACAGCGGTCTGCTGCAGCCGCACACGGCGTGTGGGTGTATGGAAAGATTCATTCCATCTGCTAGCGGTGAAGAGGTCTTGAGGGATGAGATAGAACTCGAGAAGGAAGAGGTAACGGAGAACATGTCAAACGTACACGTCGAGGAGGACGTGTCCAGGGAAGAGGAAGGCGATCACGGTAGGCCAATCGTGCATTAATCTACGATTTCAGAGGGCGAGGTTCGCTCTCATCTCGAAGATGTTCGCTCTTACTTGACACACACGGAAGAGACGGCGAGTACAGCGAAACGGCGTACCTTCATTCGAAGACTGTGCATTCGTTTACTCATGAATCTCAGGTCAAGCGAAGAGCATAGGAGGGGGGGGAGGTGCAGGCGACTCTTCGGGATATGTGGCGGGTGTAGTTTTTGGTTTCGAGAGCAAAGCACTTTTATTGCCAACGTTCGTTGTTTGCCTTGAGTGGAGTCTCGTGAGGTTGAATTTGGTGTTTGTGTTGTGTTGTGCCTCGTTTTGACCTTTTGGGAGGCGCGGTGTCCTCTTTGTCGCTGTACTTTCCCGACGTTTTTGGTCTCTGTGTTTCTGCGTAACCTACATTTTCCTAGTGTCGTTTTACAACCTTCGATATTTCTCAGGTGCGGTAGCGAGATCTTGGGCAAGATATTCACGGGGAGGACAACGCCTAAAAAATAAAATAAAGCAAATAATTGAGCCCATATCAACACCAGCGCACAACCGTCGTGTACATGTACGATGCGTAGGTCGTAGAAAACCATCGCTTTCAGCGTTTTGGTGGTACAGTACGGGGAAATTCAAACGATGGTATGCAAGTATGTATTGCAGCACAATAGCAGCAGTGGTTGCGACCTGCAAATCACCTTGGTCGTAGGTTTCAAACAACACCTACCTCTTGTGGTCGCCTTTCTGCTGCGAATGCGCACCTTTTGACATATGTTTCGCCTTCATTGGCCCCGGGGATGGTGCGTTTGTGGCCCCGGAATTTAAAAACACTTCCCCGCGTTAAAGACGCTTCTTTTTTGGGAAAACGTGGTGTGCCTTTAAAGCGGGGTCGACTGTACTGATCAACAGCCCCCCGAGTTCACCAAGTGCGCACGCGTGTTTGGTTCGTTTGTGTTCGATTTGAGGTTTGGCTCTGACCGCTATTTGATCGTGTAACGACTTGCCCGTCTTTGCCTTCGTTTCCCAGCAAGTGGGAGCTATGTAGGAATCGGAAAGACTTAACGGAGGCGCGATGGCCACTTGAAACGCGACACCCTGAACCCCAGCTCGTCGTCGAACACAAAAAGCCTCATATCCCTCTTGCAAATTGTCGCATTCTACAACATGCACATCGTGGGATGGACCAAGGAAGTTGGTTAGGCTTATCTCGTAGCTTGGTCTTCTGTATGACTACGATAGGCCCAGTCTTGACCGCACGCGTTAGCAAAGCTATTCCTGTGCTTGTGCGGTCTTGCTATGTATTCAAGGTGTTGCGGTGGGACAACTGTGGCGTACGGTAGTTCAATGCAGGCA